TTAGTCCTGTCTGTAACCTACAAGAAGGTATAACTCACCACCACTTAGCCCTGTCTGTAACCTACAAGAAGGTATAACTCACCAACTAGCACTCACCACCACTTAGTCCTGTCTGTAACCTACAAGAAGGTATAACTCACCACCACTTAGCCCTGTCTGTAACCTACAAGAAGGTATAACTCACCACCACTTAGTCCTGTCTGTAACCTACAAGAAGGTATAACTCACCACCACTTAGCCCTGTCTGTAACCTACAAGAAGGTATAACTCACCACCACTTAGCCCTGTCTGTAACCTACAAGAAGGTATAACTCACCACCACTTAGCCCTGTCTGTAACCTGCAAGAAGGTATAACTTATCACCACTCACTCCTGCCTGAAACCTGTTGGAGTAAACATCTGAGCGTTCCAGACAGTCGACATTGACGTGGATTGTGGTATTGTGAAGGCATATTCTTCCACTAATGTATAAAACAAACAGTTTAAGACGAAAATCCAACTCTTAAGACACTGTCGAAAGATGTGGAACATCTGTCCATCCAGTGGAGGCTGTCGCCAGATCTCTGCCTGTCATCGACGAGTTGTGTCCCCTGAGTGTGCAAGCAACGCTCCTTCCATTCACTGCAATAGCACAGGTCACTTCAGTTTGCTTAGGAAAGAATCCACATTGGAACTGTAATTGTTAGTTTCAACAGTTAAAGTAACTATCAGATATCAGTATCTGGCGGCAGTCGTAGTCTCTATATAAATGGAGCTTGATGCGAGTTGTGTACATAATTTCTTTTAACCATCAAACACTTCCTTCCCAACATGGGGACAATGTGTGGAGGCCATTTATGGTGTCCTCCGCCGTGATATTGCTGGAATATGGCTAAAAGCGGCGTAAAACCAAACTCACTCACTCACTCAAACACTTCCTAAGAAATCCAATCATGTCTGATCTACGTAGAGAGTGGTCTTTGCGATTTATAGTATAATGATGCAATATCACTTCTTCCAGCCGGGTGGACCAGGGCCTCGTTCCTCAAAGCGATCGTAGCGCTACGACTGTCGTAAGTCTATGTTATAGTATGGGAGTTACTATCATCTTAACGCTACGATCGCTTTGAGGAACGGGGCCCTGGATCTGCAATAAAGTCACTGACGCTGAGCTTTAAGCTTGACAAATAATTTTGTAAGATCCAGAATTGCGTATTAATGTAAGTTATGCAACTTGCAGAATTGTGTATCCATGTAAATTGTGCAAGATTCATAATTGCGTATCTTTGTAAATTGTGCAAGATCCATAATTATGTATCTATATACATTGTGCAAGATCCATAACTGCGTATCTATGTAAATTGTGCAAGATGCAGACTTGCGTATCTGTGTAAATTGTGCATGACCCAGAATTGCGTAGCTATGTAAGTCACGAAATATGACCGTGAGGCGATTGCAGTTGAAAATAGGTGGTAACAGAGATAGAATCGTCTGTGATAGGGTTGATTGAATGCGATCGCAGTGGCCGTTACTCAGCACTGGTTGGTCTGGCTGGATACATTCGACTGTTTACATTTAGATGTGACATAGCTGTAATGTCTGACTCCGGCGTAACAACCAACAAAATGAAAATAGAATTAAAAAGATTTGATTACAATATCAAAATCTAAATTGACATTGTATGTGCGATTGTCGGGTTTGTTTAAACCTCACCTTGAAGAATGTTTATGGCGAGGGGGGAAACACCGAAGTGATGTAGGTCGCAGACTTTCGGTTAAGGTGCTGACAAACCGAGAATCACCACCTAGGTGAATGAGAAGTTAAACAAAGATCAGAAGATCCTGTTAAGGCCACGGGTCGCAACTCCGCATAGTGGCACAGTGGTGACAGCCCGTTCACCACTAGTGTCCAGTCCACAACATCATTGTTTCAGACACGAGGTTTTTTTGTTTTGCTTTTAAAAAACAAATACACGTATCATCCAAGGAAAATCATTTCAAAACCAACGGTTGATATAAAATTTATTTATTGTCATTCTGTTTCCATGTGTATAATAGATAACTTCATATATATACATTGTATGTAACATATGTACAGATTAGTACAAAATATATGATTGACGTATATGGAATGATTGTATATCAATTTATGATTTATTCTCTATGGTATCAACTCATGTTTTAACACTTTGATTCACAAGGGATCCGATTACAAACCGGGCTCTTTACATGTAGTTAAATGTTTCTTACATAAAGTAACATCATGAAAGCAACACATTGGAGCTGTTCCCTGACTTTAACTGCCAACCCATAAACAGTCGTATCGTTCGGGGCTTACAAATGCTTATCTGATGAAATTGGGTTTTTCTTTTGTTTCAGATGACAATGCGCCGTTTAAGCCATCTTGTTTTAGGAGAGTAAACTCCTACATAGGAATAGCCTTATCACGTCTACAGTTTATACAAAATATTTACAAAGTATGTATATCCTTTAACTGATTACGTGTAAGTATGACCTGATACGAACAGCCCCGAAGACCCACATGAAACATTGGAAAGCTAGAGAAGCGTTCGTAAAATACGTACTTTTCTCGTTTGTCTCTCGAAGTCATGTCGTGTTAGATCTTCAGTGATTTTTATTCACTTCGACATAACATTTGTCAAATAGCCCAAACGATGCGCGGAACTGTAATCTGGTTACCTCCATGCATTAAAAACCCCACTCCTACTGGCTGTTCGGTAACTTATTCACCATGTTCGTCTTTGAATGGTAATTTCGGGACAGAATACATCTCCAGTTCCACATGTTGTTTCTCCATGGCGACTCCTGGACAGAATGTGTCTTCAGATACACATGTCTGTTTGTTTGACAACTGAAACGTGGATGGCATGGCCACAATGGTACCTACCAGATAATGTCCGTTATCTCCACAACACTGGCTAGTGTTGAGGATATCACCACTACATGTAGTTGTCAATAGTTGATAAGATAATAACCATTACCATCCCACCCCCTTTCCACGTGATGTACATCTATATTTAATTACTGACGCTTACATGAACACGACGCATACGTTCCGACAGTTGGTTTATGAGATATTGCAAACATGGGTCAACAGAGATGGTAATATCTGACGAATATCACGTTGTAAGTTACTGGGTATTCTGACATCAACAATTAGTTTATCTAAATACCCGTATGCTCAATGATGACAGTTGTAGATACAGTCGAACAAAACAGGCTTAAATGATTATTGTACTACAATACGATTGTCTCAAAACGTTAAGCTAAAAGGCGCCATGTTGGAACCTCTACACGAAGTTTTGCAGAATCATGTTAGACACTGAGCCAGCGTCTCCGTCTAATTAGGGTAAGCATTAAAGTAGTGCATTGACATCCATCATAGACGGTGAGTAAGTAGACAAAATGGTTTTGCTTCACACTTGTCTTGTGTCAGTTTCAGACGAGGTCGTGTGAATAGCCAGTGGATTAATTTAATCAATCTCTCTAACACCGTAGTCTTGTCGTAGGTGTTCGGGGATCATATTTACCCACGTTTTGATCTAGCGATGACTTGGAACAGTACACTGCGTTTGAATTCATTTACACAACATAAGTAACTCTATCTGACAGTGACAGACAGATTGAATGTACAGCTTTTATATAATTCGTTAAATCTGCACTCATTCGTAGAAATTTATGATCATTAACCTCACGTGAATTGTCACCAAAGACACGGTCACCATGCATAGTTAACAGGCAGACATGCAGCACAAACACACCTTTGTGCACTCAAACACGAGGGTGTAATTTTCGAAATATCCTGTATGTCGAGATATTTGATTGGACAGTTGGTATCACGTGGTTCTCGTCATTGTTATTATTCGGTGGTATACACAAGACGATAAGTTTGTGCAAGCCTCTCCCAAACAGGGGAAACTCAATGTTTGGAATTGAAAATTTGAAATTGAAAGTCCATTAATCATCGTCACGTTCCTTCACACATATTTAAATAAATACTATCAGCAACATCCGGTTGACTGAGTCTGTAGTCTTTATGTACAACATTGTGTGGAGGCACAGGCACGTACATATAGTGTTCATAAGGTACTGACTGGGTCTGTCTGAAGATGAAACATGAAACACCTCCAAAGGAATGAAATACTGTGTCTCTGATCAAACTCCATCTTCCAACGTTTGCTTAACCCCCTGTGGGTAGTGTATCCGTTGTATGAACGTCTGGTGAACAAAACGGGGAACGCTTGGCAACTGGCACAAGGTACTCTGACGTTTACACCATCGTGATATTAACTGTGCCCAGATATACCTGATAACTGATGGCAGTGAGCAGTGTATGTGTATGTACCATGCATGTCAACTTGCCCCACATATACTTGATCGTTGATGACACTGAGCAGTGCATGCGGCACACAATGGATGTTAGCTATGCCTATAGTGCGTTTGGCTCAAAAGCGGACCGATGAATTGCAATCTAACTCAAAAACTAATAAACATATAATACTCAATGAAACGCTGATAATAATCAAAATATCAGACCAACTCTGGGACAGCCAGGTGTTAGAGAAGCACGTGCACAAGTGCCGACAAAGTTATTGATTCATTAACCTGTGCTGTGCTGTGCCGTCTCCATCCTTTCTCGCACACCTGATCTGTCCCTTTCTCTGCACTCCTCCCTCGTAACAAATAGTTAACTGTGGCGATATTCTAATGATAGTTTCTTAAACAACTTTTTATTTTTAGGACATACATTCTGCAAACACCTCTCAGAGTTGGTCTGACGTTTTCATTATGATCAGTGTTTCATTGAGTATTTTATGTTTATAAGTTTTCGACTTAGATTGCAATTCATCGGTCCTCTTTTGAGCCAAACGGACTATATATATAGTGCATGCGGCACACCATGCATGTTAACTCTATCCACACGATACTGCCTTCGTGACGCTGTATGTACGCGAGAGAGTTATGACGTATCTCAACACTGTCGACACATATTACAAACATAGGTTCTCCTGTCATGATGGAAACATATCATCACGTCCGACTACACGAATGTCAGAGGTTAACCCCGCTTCTCCCAAGGTAGGATCACAGGTGGAATGTAGGTTAAAACTTCGCAACACCTAGGAGCCAGTGTAATCTGCTCAATTTACAACATTGCTTCATCCATGCGGCTGGGGACCTCTATAGGGGGCGTGGCGGTCGTACCTGTGGGTGACACAGTTGCCTTAGCTGGCATTCATCGTCGTAGTCTGCCCTTGCCAAGGACACAGATTGTCCAAGGTTTCATGTCAAAACCAGAGATTATTTTAAGGCTTCCAGTGAAGAACACATTCTGACCAAGGCGTATTGTCACGAACACAAACTATCCAAGGCGTCCTGCCCATAGAACAATATGTCCAAGGCTTCTTCCTGGTGAGAGAACAGTCTGCTCAGATCCCACAAAACCAGAGACTGTCCCAGAATCCACTTAGAACACAGGTCCATTAAGACGTCCTGAGAGAGAACTGTACCAAACATTGCCGTCAAGAACACACACTGGTTACAGCTTCCAAAGCACCTTCCAAAGGACCAAGTAGCATCACAGACTATACAGATTGCACCTGGAAGTAACGATGCAAATGAGGATTCCAACATAGAAACCCTTTCATCACAGTATTTTATATACACAAATAATATTTAGCAAGTAGAGAAACGTCTTGTACTGAGGTTCATCCTCGTGACTCCCAGATGTTTATAGGGGTTGTTGTTGAGACAGGAAGGAAGGTCAAGGACATCTGGCAGCTCCTCAAGCTCTTCTAGTTCTGACTGCGCATCCTCCAGCAGCTCCTGATGCTCCGCGCAGCTTCTTTGCAGCTTCAGTTGATGGATGTCGTGGCGGAGAGACAACAGTCGTCGTGCGATTTGCTGATCCTGGGATCGCATCTCTTGCTGCCAAAACAAAACAAATATGTGCGTAACAGTACGTATTTGATGGATAGGAAGTTTCTGTGGACAGAAATTGGATTTTCAATGTACCTCACCCCTTACATTTCTCACCCGTGAAGATCCGGGTTAGAATTGTTTTTCACCAACCCTCACGCTACTTGCAATTGTCGTAAGGGGCGACTAACGGGATCGGGTGGTGAGGCTCGTTGACTTGGTGGACACGTCATCATCGTATCCCAATTGCGTAGATAGATGCTCATAATGTTGATCACTGGTTTGTTTGGTCCAGACTCGATTATTTACAGATAGCCGCCTTATAGCTGGAATATTGCTGAGCGCGGCGTTATACAACACACCAACCAGCCTTACATTTCAGGGCCTATATTTTCGAAGCTCTCTTAGCGCTAAGATAGTCGTAAGTTAATGTTGATGTATGGCAATTACGGCTATCTTAGCGCTAAGAGAGCTTCGAAAATATAGTCCCTGGTTCATTTCTTATGATCGCCCCTCCCGTTGCAGAACTGTTGGCGGCATTGCAATTGCAACATTCCAACCGCAAGTTTGTATGTCGAATTAATGATGTGTTCTCTGGATATTTACGTAATGTTGTGAGTGAAATAGATGGAATATCTCAAGTTTGTTGTCTGTTTGTAAGCTAACCTCGTCATACAACAGCTTCACGGTGACATGGTTTAACATTTCAATGTCTACATATTCGTAATGCATGGCCTGGAAGCACTGGAAGTCTATAAAGTGATTAGTTTTCTCCAAAGTGTTATAGGGGCGGTGGGGTAGCCTAGTGGTTAAAGGCGTCCGCTCGTCACGCTGAAGACCCGGGTTCTATTCTCAACATGGGCACAATGTGTGAAGCCCATTTCTGGTGTTCCCCGCCGTGATAGTGCTGGAATATTGCTAAAAGCGGCGTAAAACTAAACTCATTCACTCCAAACTATTATACACGTATTTTTAATCTGTATGTTCCCTGAGAGTGGAATTTTATAAACTAAGTACGACTAATGAGGAGAACTGTTAGCTAGCTCTATAACTGAGTTTGGTCGAATTTGAATTGTCAGTGCAAAAATCATCATGCAAATACTCACAAGCTCATTGCGTAGCCACTCCAAAGCATCATCAATCTTTTTCTTACGCTCTGCAGTGAGTCGCTCGTCGTGGTCAACCTTCAACACTGGTTTAGGGACTTTGTGCTGTTTGTCGATATGTTCCGCTCGCCATGCGATGTAACTCTCCCTACGCGTGCTTAGGTTAAGTCTCGTGGCAGTCTTCTTCAGTTGCGCGAGATCTGACGTGAGCTCGCCATTCTCTGACGTAATCACAATTTTAGGTACAGAGAACTTCCGGGTGTCTGGGGCAGATAAAATATCGTCCTTGTTTTCGAATTCCTCTATAATAGACAGAGGGCGTCGTTTTTCCTTCATTTTGCTGTGTCTTCCTTCCGACCGCCCATTTATAACAGTGAGTAGATGCTATTCCCAGCTCTGAAATTAAACCAGAAGGAATAAAATTTGATAGCCATTTAAATCATGGGGATCTTGCTCGTTTATCTAAATGCCTACAGAGGATACAAAGGCCAAGTTGTTTCATGTGGTGTTTTTACTGTTATGTCTCTTGCAATGAGGCCGCCATGTTAACTGATCCGTTCCGTGCGCATGCATTTTACAATGTTGATGTAGTTTCAGATACAACAATGCAACCATAGCTTGTCGAAGGTAACAGACTCAGAATGATCTTTTATTCTAAACATAAATGTTTGATGCAGTCATATGTTTAATGCATACAACAATTTCTGACTCTTATAGAAGCAAAATATATACATGTATCTATATTGTGCATCGGTAACTTTCACGAACAAATAGTGAATCATGAGAACGAAAGATCACTACTTAAAAACAGAAATCACCAAAAATGTGTTCAACAGTTCTACCTGATATAATATCACAAAACGGTGTATAATAAATTTTAAGAATCGGATCAAGCAAGTTAAGTGTGTTACTCGTTACTTAACAATTTGAAGAACAATGTATAAAACACAGTAATATGAATAGTACATAACGCTGGGATAGCTTGGAGCCTGCTGGACTGGAGCATGGCCCATCGGAAACACCTCACATCCCGTGCTGCAATACCCACTCACTATCTCCTTCGAAGGGCATGTCGTTGGATAAACATAATTATTAGAATGTGTCGCGTGAAATGACTAGCTGTCTTGTAAAGTAAAGGAATACTATTATATGATCATATATTTTCAGAGCATAACCAGTTGTAATTATAAATAAAAAAATAGTATTTACACGTTGAAAAACATTGTTTATACGAGGTATAGACACACAGAAGAAAATGTGTGATACGGATATTAACTGATAAAATACCTTTCTGATGTACTATCCATCGAGTGTAGTGATAACTGTGTTTCATACCGTCCGACAAATCGGCGTGGTTGTTCTGTGTGACCAATACAAACTACAGGCGCTTCTCCAGACTAATCTTGTATTGAGCCCGGCTACATGCATGGCAAACCCATAATGGCTGTGTCACAATCGATCATGCTGAGTTTAACTTTGAAGTGAATTTTTTACAAGCCAATTAGAGAAAGCCACTTCCTGTACCAAATAAACTGGATTCTTCTCGTGTGATACAAAGGTGGTTGTGACTCCAGGCCGTTGCGTTTTTATTGGCGTTTTATTCACTTCATACATTCACGTACTCCTAACAACAGATGATATAAAGTATAATATTCCCAACACTTTACAGACCTCATGTAAGATTGGAAGCAACAAGTGATGACATTTTACATACAATGATGTTGGTAAACATTCAGAGCGCAGCGAAGATAACAATGAAACCTATAAAAATCTATAAAATATATGACTGTGATTCTGTTAGATACCATCACATTTTCCATCATGGTTGCTTCACAACGTCTATGTTCTCGTTACAAGCTCTAAAAAACTTAATAACATTACAGGGCGAATGAGGTTCAGTTAGACAGCAACTACACAAACCCAGCAGGTCCAGTGTTCTCAGTCTCCATGATAAACAAAAACTTAAACAGAGCAAAAGCTTCAGTAACATTATCTACACATCACTAAGCATGAATTTGTGATGCTTTTCGTGGTCAACAACTGTGGGATTGACATGTCGTTGGCTGTTTAGCTGACATATGTGGCGATTCAAATGTAATGTAGGAATCGAACCCACACCGCGCTTTATTTCTACTAAGAGGTGTAGGGAAATATATAAAGACCAATAAAGCACACAGAAATATCTGAAATATCTTAAGTCTTTATTCCTCGCTGGCTGAAAGCGTGTGGGTCCCAACGTTGACTCTGGTTACGACGTTTCTTCTTTCCCATTCGTTTGGTGATCGCTCTGGTCCATTTGGACATTGGTGAACATTCACCCAAAGGAGGGACACGACGTAGTCCTTAACGGACATACAAGCCACAAGAGAGTTCCTTCTTTTGGTGATCATTCTCCTCCATTTGGACATTGGTGAGCATTCACCCAAAGGAGGTGCAAGACGTAGTCCTTAACTGCCAGACAAGCCACGAGAGGGTTCTGTCTTTTGAAGGTATCAGCTTGTGTAATTGTCATCAATTTTGTCTTATTTAAGGCACAACGTAATCTGTTAAGGCACCTGTTTCGGCGGGGAGCTTACTGGTTGAACGGTTCGCTTGCAACGCCGGAGACCAGGGATCGATTCCCAGCATGGTTACAATGTGTAAATCTTATTTCTGGCCCCTGTAGTGATATTGCAGGATTATTGCTAAAGGTGCCGTAGCCTTTTAGCCAGATAATAGTGACTAATTACTCTCTGGTGTTTACGTTTCAAATGTATCCACACAAATGATTTTTCAGACTCAGGGGCAAAGGGCTGCCCCAAAACGATTGACAATCAATGCATACGTTATCCTCTAAAAATCCATCTTACGTGTAAAACAGTTGACTTGCTTTGAACTTCATTCATAAAACACCATAGCACGTACCAAACAAGTGAAACCAACCCATTTATCACCGCGTCTCACAACTCACCAGAACACTGTCACATTGCCACCTTCCACACCTGGATCCTGATCACTTTTTGAAACCTGTGTGGTAGGTTTGTTACACAAATTTCCACCTTCATCTGATTAGACGCCTTCACAAGCCCCACAGCTGGTTCGACAGACAGACCCTCTGACAGCCGTGAATGTGATGTTGAGATTGGTTCTTTGAAAGTATGTCGACCACCTTCCCTTAATCTCCCCCTCGCTCATCTCCTTCAGTTGTCCACTTCACAATACGTTTTGTAGATATCATCTCTTCTCAGCATCGTTTAACAACGCTAGACCTGGTTAATGAATCTCAGACACTAGGTCTCTGAACCTGCACTGCCTGGTCGAGATTACATATGCGGAAACCTCAGTTTGGGCCACGTACTTTTAACAAACAAGCCCTGAATGAGTATGAAGTCATCTAAACTTGGTCCCGCTGTAGCTGAAGCCCATGAATTAGGATTAGCCCCAAGGCCAGGTAACCCTGTCCCTAATTTTCTGCTGGTCACTCTTAAGGGGTCATAACGCCCCGGTTGATCCTCTTCTGCGCTTAATTTCCCCCACAACCCCCTGCAGTGATAAGCAGCTTCTACAGAGGCAAGCGTTTGGCCGTGGGATTGTGGTAAACACCGACTATAGAACAATTGTTAATTCTGTACTTCTAAGACTGCAGGCTGAAATGTCCTGGCAGGTGTATCTAAGCAGACTGATATAAAAAAGGTTCACATCAAAAGAACACTGGTCTTTCAGAGACAAGCTGATGTTGGTACAAATATATATTTGGTTGCGGTTACGTAGAGGGGCTATGAGTGAGTGAGTGACTGAGTGAATCCTATAAAAATGTTAATTAAACCTGGATGATGTTTTAATTCACATCAGTTCTTTGACCGATAAAACCCAGAGATGCAAGCGAACCATCAGTGTTATAACTGCATTTACATCCCGGTGATCGAGATGCGGGTGAACTAAAGCAGATTTACATGCTCGCTACGAATAGAGCTGTACACACAACATGTCTTTAGATTGAACGGCAGCTGTTAATCCGATTATGTTACCATCATCATACCAAAAGACGCTAAAATATGGTACTTATTGGTCCCTGCCTGGTGCTCGGCATTAATGTGTCCATCAAGGACTGGTCGGCTCGGAGTCAGTATATTGTGCTTAACTGTGGCATGGTATCTCAGTGAGCTATCACTATATAATAGTAAAAGCAGCCACACATATAAACACATGCACGTCGTCATATGAGAGAAATATTCTTAAGCACGACGTAAAACCCCCTTTCACCTCACCTCACCTCACCTCACCTCACCTGACCTCACCTGACCTCACCTGACCTCACTTGACCTCACCTCACCTCACCTCACCTCACCTCACCTCACCATCATGCATGCTGTTCCTCATTATAGTTATTATCAACTATTGACATCATATTTCTTCTCCATTCTCGTCTCAAAATGGTTCACGTCAATTAACATTTAATCAGAATACGAACGTATCTGGTCAAATATGGCTGTCAGGCATCCAAGTATCTGGACATCAAGGGCTGTCAGGCATCCAAGTACCAGTAGCCAAGATGTATGCGACGTTCCTTTGGTAACCATCAGAGTGAGATGGTTTTAACAACCATTTAAACCGTAGGTGAGATATGTGAGGTTCATGTAAGAGACACGGTCGTAGACATGATTCTAGACGTCGATGTGGATCTAGACATAGACGTGGATCTAGACGTCGCCGTGGATCTAGACGTAGACATGGATCTAGACGTAGACATGGATTTAGACGTAGACGTGGACCTAGACGTAGACGTGGATCTAGACATAGACGTGGATCTAGACGTCGACGTGGATCTAGACGTAGACATGGATCTAGACGTAGACATGGATTTAGACGTAGACGTGGATCTAGACATAGACGTTGATCTAGACATAGACATGGATCTAGACGTAGACGTGGATCTAGTGAGTGAGTGAGTGAGTTATTATTTAACGTTACATCGGCAATATTTCAGCCATATCGTGACGAGAAGACGTGGATCTAGACGTGGATAAAGACATAGGCATAGTTAAAGACATAGACGTGCATCTAGACGTAGACGTGGATCTAGACGTAGACATGGATCTAGGCGTAGACATGGATCTAGACGTTGACGTGGGCGATGTGAAACTCACGAGGAAGATGACGCAAGACAAATCCTCAAGAATCTGATATAATACTGAAAACAGAGCCTCCTATAAAAGGCCGTATACACCGTAGATTGACATAGACAACTGCAACAGAATACCTCGGTTAATACTGAGATAGTTAACCAAACGGAATTTGTCGACGCCTTCTTTACCTGATTTACCGATCTACATCTACACGTCCGTAAACATACCTTGTATATTCACAATGCATGCGTTTGATATCAATTAAAATATAAGCACTTACACATAAGCCAG